GAAATAAATGCATTGGAAATTGTTTATATCTACTGTTATTATTGCTTGGATAACCAATGTCAACAACAAACTCATGATAAGGTTCTTGAAGGAAAATAAAAGAAAATATAAAGTAAATTGAATTTATAATTAAAATATCAAAATTATCTTCTTTTTTATTCCCTCATTTTCGATTTTTTTTTTGGTTTTCATACTAAAGTCTTGTTCTATTTTGTGTATGCACTGAGGTCCAAAACCCTGAAAACATAAAATAAGAAAATATGTAATTATAAATAATCAGGAAAATGCAAAAGAGAAAAAAAAACAGAAAAAGATAAATGTAGTACAAATGATAATGAATGAGTATATAATACAGAAAAATCGATAATTAGCCCGAATTAAGTTAAAGGTCTTTAAACGCTTTAACTTTCATCTTTTGTAACAGTTGATTTAACAATAAAAAAGAGTATTCTTGCAAAACAGAGTCAACAAATGATACGACATATTGCACTTTGCACACACATTAATAGTATATAATTTCTTTAAGTTTGCCGCTCGAGTTTGACGGATGTTTCAACACTTCATGGTCCTTTTTTTCTGAAGTAATAAATAACAGCTCTGGAATTGTGTAATTGATGTGACAATCTAGGGTATCTAGCGAGTGAACAGATGAAAGACATATTACGTTTACATTTTGACATAATTTATAATACTTTGCCATGGCAAATTAGAATTGCCATGGCAAGGTTTTTCCTACATTTGCTATGATTTCATGCAAATGTTGAGTACTCTTTAAGGGGCGATAACTTTTCCATTTTCGCTTCAACTAGAATATTTCTATCTTAAATTGATAGTATCCTAAACAAATGATAATTTCGCGCAGGATTTGAATTCGTATAATTTGATGATGGGCCACTTAATTCTTACACTCCTGCCAATCTAGTTAATATAGTACCATCAGAATAAAATTGAAAATTAAAACTTTAAATGCATTTTTACATAAAAGTATTAAAGAAAGAAAAACAAAACATATTCACTTTTAAACCTTATAGTAAATATGACAATTTAAGATAGTTTTCATTTAATTTAAAGCGCGTAAAAATAGGGGTTGAATTTGCCAAAAACCGGCGCGGCAATTTTTTTTTTTTAATGCGTTTATTTAAGGTCGCCGCCGGAAAGCCCATATGGGCGACCGTACACTCAAGTCGGGCCATCCTAGAGCGTCCCGCTGAGATTTTTTCGTCGATTTTTTTCCAGCTTTTATTGGTGGAGAAAGACCCCATGTGCCCCTCCGGGCATTGTTTCAGGCACGAGCGGGCACCCGGGTAGAACCACCGACCTTCCGTAAGCCAGCTGGATGGCTTCCTCACATGAAAGATTTCGACTCAGAATTTAACCTTAGCGTTCAAGTTATAACAAAAGTGGTACATTTTTATATATGTTAGGCGATTTATATTTTATCCAATATCAACCGAATCAATGTCAATCCGAATCATAACATTTAACCTTCAGATCAATTTGACAATCAAGAATGAGAATAATGTCACATTAATAATTTTGTAACCATTTTCTATTGATAATTATGAAAGTTTTTTAACACTGCCATAACAATTATATTTTAATTTAAAACATAGTATTAAATTTGTACATTTTTCACACCTACAAGAGGAAGTTTAAATTAAAATAAACATTTTCTACCTGCACATAGAGAAGAATAGTAGGTTTCTTTTTTGTATGTAAAACCTCAACATAGAAATATTTGAATTAGATGTAAATAGAAATTATAAGTTGACGAAGAAAACCTCATTTATTCAAATAAATTGACCCCTATCGTAAGCAGATGTATTTTGAAACAGTAAACATTAATATGCATTTACCATTATCGACCGGCTCAATCATACTGAGTCTCCAACAACATTTGTGTCTGTTTTAGACGATCGTTTTTAAAAACAATCCATTATCTTTATTTTGTTAACATATTTTTTTCTCATACATGTTATGCAACTGTTATAATAATATTCGATTGTTATATTAAGTAATATAATTTAACATACATGATAATAAACAACGACATTATTTAATATAGTTAGAGTTAGTATATGAGAGATACATAATCTGTGTGTAGTAGCAGATGATAATTTTAGCACAAATTTTATTTCACATCATATTCCTGTTTATATTTTTTTTCTCAATTAGAACTTCATGAACATTCTATCACATCATATACCTGTTTATATTTTTTTCTCAATTAGAACTTCATGAACATTTTATCACAAGAAATATTTCAAAAGAATATCCAAAAGGTACATTTCTATTTTTTTTATCAATATTTGAATTATGTGTTGAAAATGTTTCCTTTTTAGACCGATCAAACTTTACTATTGAGAATCAGCATGACAATAACATCTCACTATTCTTATTGAGACCCGTGTTCTGATGCCTCATTTCAATTATTTGCTTTGCCAGGTGATCATAAATAATAATTTACAATGAAAAGACTTAATTTGATAAAAAAAAAAAACAAGGGGACGACCTTTAAGTTACAAAGCTTAAATGAACTTTTCATTATAAATTGATGGAATTTTAATGTCAAAATTATAACACTTCACAAACATCTGACACTATTTGTAGTAATAGTGAATTTAGATCGGACCATTTCGGTGCAAATAACCGATGTTTTCAAAAAGGACGAACATATTAATTTCACGTCCCTATTGAGAGAAAGAAAAATGATGTTATCAATGTTTATTTCAAAAGGGGTGAATTTGAAAGACATTTGATAGATTTCAAATGATAGGATATCCTTATGAATAAAAATGTGCAGGTGTACTAACATTTTTAAATTTTTGAGTGTCACAAATTATCTTAAAATTTATAAACTAACTTTAAATATAAAATGGCATACGTTGTCACAGCCTCAAATATTTCAGATATTAAATGATGACATTATAATGTCTTGGTTTCTTATCTTATCCTAAAATGTTTCAAATCCGCATCAGAAAGATACAAATACTGTTGACAAAGGTCTGGTACGTAAGGATTTAAACCGCCAACTACAGGCTTACTTCTTTGTTCTTTTTACAATCTTTATTTCTTTATTGGATTTAACGTCGAACCAACTCTGTTATTGTCATATGGCGACATTCCACCTTTACCGGAGTAGGAGTCCTCAGGTGCCCCTCTTTGCATAATGTCAGGTACGGACGGGCTCCGGAGTAGATAGCGTCACTGACGTTCCGTAAGAAAGCAACATACTAATAGACCAGTAAATTTAGAGCTCAAGGTGAGATATCATTGAGATTGTAGATGGTAAAGGTTATAATAACAGTATGAGGTTATAATTACAGTATGAGGTTATGATAAAAATATGAGGTTGTAATAACCGTATGAAGTTATAATATCAGTAAGACTTTGTAATAACAGTATGAGGTTATAATAACAGTATGAGGTTATATAAGCAGTATGAGGTTATAATAAAAGTATGAGGTTGTAATAACAGTATGATGTTATAATAACAGAATGAGGTTATAATAACAGTATGAGGTTATAATAACAGTATGACGTTATAATAACAGTATGAGATTATAATAACAGTATGAGGTTGTAATAACAGTATGGGGTTATAGTAACAGTATGAGGTTATAATAACATTATGAAGTTATACTAACAGTATGAGGCCATAATAACAGTATGAGGTTTGTAAACTTATATAACAGACAATTTTCAAACAAGTGTTGCTTAAATACAAACCTGATGCTTACATAAATCATAAATTGGGCTAGTTATATCAGTGTCCGCAGCAATTCAGTTCACAATTACTGCATTGTTTATGATGACTCTTTTAAAACATGAAGTACATGTTTACAAGTCATTGTTATTGAGAAGTGTAACATTAATTGTAATGTGGCCAAATAAATATCATTTTAAGTCGTGTTTGTTTTCAAACTTGCTCATAATTAAATATTTCATGCAAGATAATTTCATAAATTTGTAAAATGTCTGTTTTCAAAAAATCCAATTTCTAACCTGAATGTATATAACTAAAATGATTTAATAACATTTCAAAGAATGAGCAGTTATTTGCATTTATAACATGTATTGTTTACATATATTTCACAGCATGAATACTGCGTGCAATATTTTGATTAATGGGTTTTCTTTACATTCAAATTTAATTTGGCAGCGTATTGCTATGCTCTCTCTTTAATGACATCAAATCACTATGACAAATGTATTCTCACTTTGAACATGATGTAACATGATGTGCCGTTTCCAGAATGAGATAGGGGGCGTCCGTGGTCGGGTGGTTAAGGTTGTTGACTTCAAACCACTTGCCTCTAACCGCTGTGGGTTCGAATCCCGACAGGGACTTTGGATTCTTTCATGTGAGGAAGCTATCCAGCTAGCTCACGGAACGTCGCTGGTTCTACTCTGGTGCCAGTTCGTGCCTGAATTAATGCACGGAAAGGCACATGAGTTCTTCCTCCACTAGTAAAGCTGCAATGTCACCAAATGACCTATACTGTGTCGGTGTGACGTTAAACCAAAAACAAACAAACACACTAGTATGAGATTGCACATTTTTTCTGTTATCGGAATTTATGTCTGAAAGTTTCATTCAAATATGCCTTTGCTCACACTAAATTATGTATTGATAATGGCACTCTTTAATTATCAATTAAAAATTGAAATTATCACAACTAAATTAATATATATTAATGTAGTTGGGATAATTTCAATCTTTAACTGATAATAAAAGAGTGCCATTATCAATATATCGATATATATTTTTTAATTGAAATGCATAAAATTAGTTGAATATCATTATTTAAGAACATTTTACAACTTCCTAACATATTCAGAAAAAATTGCAACATACCTTTACATCCTCAATATCAATCTTTGAAAAAGATCTAAAGCAGGAAGAAATGTTCTAGTTTTTTCATTGTTTACTGTTTCCTTCTTATTTGAAAAAAAAAACTATCTTAGGGTTTTACGTATCATATTCATTCAATTGTTTTAAAACCCTGTTTTACATTTATTTCTTTACACAAGCTTTCAACATTTTGGTGCGATAGGACGTAGGAATGGATAAAGGAAGTGTTAGATACTTTATTTATTCTTTATTGATTACGATAATAACTATATCACTAAGTGAAACAACAGCCGAAGGTACGATTTATTTGTTTTCCTAAGCTCAGTTTATTTTATTGAATTTATATGATGTTAAAGATTTATTATGCTCAAATTTCATATTTGAAAATATTTATAATTGCTACACAATCGCTTTGTAAATATAAAATAAACATATTTTAACTGCACACAAAGTAGATGTGTTGTGTTAAAGATTCTAAACGTTATTATAGGTTGTTATAATATGAATATATACATTGTAGTGTCATTGAAACAACCAATTTTACTTGACCTATAATAGAAAGCGCAGCTTCAAATACATAATTTATTCACTCTTTTATCAAAATTAATCATATTTGGTAAAAATTGCATAGATTCAATAAATTTCTGGGATAGAAATATTTTACGCAAAGATAAGCAGAGTATATCTTTAAGTTATATAACAAAATAAATAGTAAAAATGTTTTAGGAAAAACAGACCAGTATGGACAACTTCTTATTCATTTTTAATGCATAAAATACCAGAAATATTACGTACTAACATCGATAAAAATAAATAATTTGCAATTTTATATGAATGAGAATGAAATTTTTAAAAGAATTTTATTTTACAGATGTCCTCATATTATTTATGACATAATCGCGACTGGGACAATGTTTTAATTAACATATTTCCCATTTCATTGCTGTCAAGTAGAGCAGATTTATTTATTTTAAAGGATTGACATACTGTATATTATGGCCATTCACCAACAATTGACAATAAAATCTGTTTAGGATAAACAGTTTTATTTAATTTTATCCATGAAATATGGTGCTATATCAGTCAAATATATTTCATATTTTTTTAAAAAAAATATGAAATATAAATATGAAAGTGGGCGGAGTCAAAACTCATATTTATTTTAAGGGACTTCTTCGCCATTTTGTTTGAAAAATCTGATAAATACAAAACAACTTTTTGTCGAATTTTGTTTTGAAAACTATCCAGAATGATAGAAAATGGTCTAAGAAAAAAAATACGAACACCAATATCTTTTATTCAGTATTTTGTTTTGAAAACTATCCAGAATGATAGAAAATGGTCTAAGAAAAAAAATACGAACACCAATATCTTTTATTCAGTCATTAACGCTGTACAGACGTTTAAAGAGTTGTTTACGTGACGTCACAATGTAGCGCTAAATATCGCGTGCAAAACAAGACAATAATTATATTACTGCGCGCTGTCTAATTGCAGTTCCGTAGCAAGCAAGGAGGATCCGATCGTAACCATTTTTCTTTGCTAATGAAATTAAATGGGTTACTTTTTCGTTTTTTTTTTGTGAAATATGGCATATATTTCCACTCAACATGATAAAATGCCACATATTTTCACTCGCCGTCCAGGCTCGAGAAAATATGTGGCATTTTATCATGTTTCGTGAAAATATATTCCATATTTCACCCAAACGAAAAAATATCCTCTTAACATTCCGAGGGGTATGTATTTAAAGAGAGAATTTCTGTGAGTAACTTGGGTTTATTGCTTATGCATATGAAGTAAAAAATAACATCGGAATCAATTATAGCAATAAACAATTACAATAGAATAGGAAAAAAACGGAATCCCTTAAGTACTCCCAAGCCAACACAATTCTGTTTAAGCATGTTCATGGATGGTACTTGAAAGTGCAAGTAACAATCGACGCCACTAGCGCCGGATTAAGCAAAATTGAACATTTTAACACGAAAATGGTAAACATTATGAGTAAGAAACATATGCGTGTGTTTATACGGTGTGTATTATGAAATCTTCAATGTGCCACATTCTTGTCTTTCCATGCCCATAGCTTTATTCATTGGGCAACTATATAAGATTCGAAAACTCATTGATAAAAATAGTAATAATTATAAAGTCAGATTAGTAATTAGATACAGCTCTGAAAGTCTCCAATAGTACCCGAAATATCTGTTAGAGACAAAATAACACTACTTCTACTCTAAATATTTTAGTACATCACTTATATGGATTAAAATTGAAATTAATGACTTAAAATTGTTGTATTTTATCATTTTGTCAGAGTCTTGTGAAGAGTCTTTGAATCATACCACGCAAAATAACTATGAATACACATTTTTGTGGAGTGCTTGGCGGTCAACGGGCTTGGTATGGCACAACATGACATTTTGGGATGGACATGTGCAGATACCAGAGAAAGACCATGTAGCTTTGGAATGTTTTACTACATTGGGAAATATATTAGTGATAGAAGGTTTAATTTATTATGTTTAACATCACAATAAAAATGTATTTAGATACCAACTGTTTTCGATCGTCAACGTGTTTTAATGCAATTCTATTTTTTATGTTATTTTATTCTAAGATGGTTTTTTCAATGTGTCATGTTCTCAACATTATGCTGGACATCAGAATCGATATCACAACAGTTTTCAAAATACTGCTCTGAGTAAACAATCGGTTGAACATTTCAATTGCATTGTACGGGGCATAATACTAAAGAATCATAATGTTATATTTTTTTTCATTTACAATAATTATATATCATTTTGTTTAGACAAGCATCCTAACATCGAAGATATAACTGAAAACATTATTGAAGTAAAGGCGTGCACCATAGACGTAAACCAAAAGTGTATACATCATATGAATGTCCTGATCAGAAAATGCAATGGAAATTTATTGTACAGATTTCCATTGTTCAACAGCACGAATGTACGACATGACTACATTTGCTTAGGTAAGTGTAAAAATTGTGCCTATAAAGATATAACTTGCATGATGCATATGGCAATAACAAATCTAATTTAACTGACTGTATCTCATTAAGGAATATAAAGAAATAAATAATCCCTAAAGAAGGCACAAAACGACATGATAATGTAAATTGCAAGTTACCGTCCACGCTCCCTAGCAAAGAGCAACGGCTTAAGCAGAATTCAACATTTCATCAGGATACTGGTGATATTTTGAATATAGAAACATCCGCAGATGTGTTTGTTATAAAAGCTTTTTTTTTAAAAAGTAATTAAACGCGTATATAAGACAAAAATAAAACAATAAAAAAGTTAACTGACATTATTTACTTAATGTAACTGCTGTTGCTATTTTATTTCTTAAGAAGCAATGCATTATAAAACCCACCGAAACGAAATTTGGGGGATGTAAATAGGAGTCACTCGGTGGTCGGTCGGTCGGTTGGTCGGTCGGTCCATTGGTCTGTTGCATTTTCCGTGCCCGGAGCATAACTTGAAGACTAGTGGTTGGAATTCAATACAACTTCATACAATGGTCAAGCACATTAAACGAAAGTGCAGTGCACAAGAACCATATATCTATATCCACTAATTACAGAGTCATTGCCTTTTTTACTTTTCTTTGTCCGGAGCATAACTTGAAAACTACTGGTTGGAATTCAAGATAACTTCATACAATGGTCAAGCACAATAAGGGAAAGTGCAGTTCACAAGAACCATAACTTTTTTTAAAGTAATTACAGAGTTATTGCCCTTTGCTACTTTTCCATTGCTTTCTTTTTTATTCCAGACCATAACTTGAAGACTAATGGTTGGAATTCAATATAACTTCATAAAATTGTCATGCACTTTGAGAAAAAGTGCAGAGTACAAGAACTATAACTCCATCTTGACTATTTACAGAGTTATTGCCCTTTTTTACTTTCCTTGTCCGGAGCATAACTTGAAAACTACAAGTTTGAATTCAATACAACTTCATACAATGATCAAACATATTAAGAGAAAGTGTAGTGCAGAAGAACGATGACTCATTCTCCGCTAATTATTGAGTTATTGCCCGTTGTTTCCTTTCCTTGTCCGGAGCATAACTTGAAAACTACTAGTTGGAACTCAAGACAACCTAAAATAATCGTCAAGCACATTAAAAGGAAGTGCATTGCATAAGAACAATAACACCATTTTGACAAATTATAGAGATATTGCACTTTGTTACTTTTCCTTTTCCGGTGCATAACTTCAAAAGTACTGGTTCGAATTCAAAACAACTTCATACAATGGTCAAGCACAATAAGAAAAAAGTGCAGTCCACAAGAACCAGAACTCTTTCCAGAGTAATTAAACAGTTATTGCCATTTGTTACTTTTTATTGTCCAGTGCATAGCTTGATAATTTATGATTGAAATTCAATGAAACATCATACAATGATCAAGCGCAATGAATGAAAGTACAGTGTACAATAACCATAACTCTATCTTCAGTATTTATAGAGTTATTGCCCTTTGTGCCTTTACCTTGCCCGGTGCATTACTTAAAAACTAATGTTTAGAATTCGAAGCAACTTCATACAATGGTTAAGAGAAATGAAAGGAAGTGCAGTGCTCAAGAAGTGTTACACTTTCTGGACTTATTACAGAGTAATTTAATAAAAATTCATCAATGGTCAGCCACATTGAAAGGAAATGTAACATACAAGAACCACAACTATTTTTAATTGCCCACAGCCATAACTCTATTTCAATTATTTTACAAGGTATTCTGTAACTTATTTACTTCCTCATTTCCGAAGCAATCTTGCGGGGGGTATTAATCACATTTTGTGATCGTTCTAGTTTCAAGTTTGATATTATTCATAGTTCGTTCAACAGCCATTTGTTAGATAATAAATATCTTTCATTAACTTTTTTTGTATGACAATCGAGGTGTTCACATTTACTTTATGACTTTATGTTATTCAGAGTATCAACCTATAACTAAATAATGGTTTTCTCACTTATGATGAATATTTTTCTTTTAATTTTAGATAGAATGTATTCAGGAAGTAAGTAGCACTTTTTACTTAATATTCAATATTGAAAATCGTATCTATGAATAAGAAAATATCCATTAATAATTCATGTCAACCACAAATATTGAGAGAAAAATTTTAAATTCTTTTAATGAGAAACACATTTTTATTTCTTGAAAATAGTTCCCGATTTATTCCTTGATTTCTTGGACAATACCTTATGTGAATACTCGAAAAGATGAACAAATACAAATTGAAAGCTATTGGTTTTTATCATCATTAATCAAGATTTATGAAAACTGATTTTGTTTGTAAAATTATTTGTCACTAAAACGTTTTGCCAATGAAATTCTTTGTAGTTCTGTTAATATATATTTAGCTGTTCTATTTATATAACATCACTGCATTTAAACAAAAAGTGCGGCAAGTATTTACATACCAACATACTATGCTAAACAAAAAAAAACAAAAAGGGGTTTAAATTTTTTGTTATAAGGGGCCCTTTTCAAAGAAGGGCCCCTCAAAAACCCATCACCCCAAAATAAAAATGACAACCAAATTTAACGTCACACCCGGTTATGGTTGGAACCCGTTTTTCCAAAACCGTCAGAAAGGGGTTTCCCGTAAAGTTTTCCCTTTTCTTGCGGGCAAAGACATAATCTTTGATGAATGTCCAGAGGCAAAAGCATATGCTTTTTACATCTTTTTACAAGGTATACATGGCTATGTCGCTAAATGAGTATAAATGATTGTATTTCGTTGATATTAATCCCTCAGTTAAAAAAATACAAATTGTAGTAAATATTAATCTGTTTCTTGTTTTTTTTTTTTCTTGTTTCCAGTTAAATTACAATGTATTTATCAAACATTGGTGGTCAGTTCTTTTTCCTTTTTTTCTTCTTTTTTTGAAAGGCCATTTGAATGTATTTTTTAAACTGTCTTATTCGACATAACAAAGTTAGAAAACTGCTCTATTTAAAGTACGTGAAGAGTAACCTTTTGATTTGAAATAACTATAATTGCAAATGACTTTTCATAGGCCACAATTTGAAGTGTACATTTTTAAGAGAGAATGATCCTCTTTGTATAAATGCATTTATTTTTTAATTTACACACACAAAAAAAACAATACTATATATTAATCTTTATAAACATGAAGTAATTTTTATTTGGTTCATTAAAAAAAATGTTGTGAAATGACTGAAAATTCATTGACAAAGGCCATTTCGAAATAAAATCGAGATAGGGTAAAAAAAAAGAAAAGAAAAAACAATAAGAGGTAATCAATGCCAATTGTTGAAATTTTTAACAATTACTCAAAAGAATGTCAGCTTCAGAAAAAAGCAGAAAACATTTTCAACTTCAGATAATGATATTTTTTCGCTTAAAATTTTCTGTTATATCATATCTATTATTATGCCTTGTTTAAATGAAATCAATTTTATGGTCCTCATAATTCCTGTATGTAGCTCATTCCAGATACGTACTAAATGATGAAGGGTAAATTTAACTTTAACAATATTCAAAATTATGGGCGCATTTATTTTGGTAACATAGTGTTACAAGACCAATGTAACAACACACAAAACAAAAAAGTACTGCGTATGTTGGTATTCGATTGTTGAGATTATACAAATGATTAATAAGACACAGAAAACCCTACGAATGAACAGTCATATTACCTAACCACAGCTTACCCCTTTGATAAAACTCATAAAACTCTTTTTTTTTTTCAAGTTAACCTTTTTCCAAATTAACTATTTTCTTTTCTTTACAGACCCGTTACCCAGTAGTGTAGGTAAAGATCCAATCAGAGTTGTTTCGTGCATAGTGCACAAGGGTAATGGCGTCTATACAACCGATACTGATGGTAATGGAAACTGTCACATTTACGTCTATATTAGATTGTGCAATGGAAAACTCCAGTTTGATTTAAGTGCAGCGAGTCTATATTGGGATAAAGTTTGTTTAGGTAAGCGGTAGCATATACTTAAATAATCAATATATTGAGATACTTACTGAAAATAAGATCGTACGTCGAGTATCGCACATGAACAATATACAATAAAACCATTGTATAATAATATATAACATGTGAATATAGAATTTCTATGATCCCGCCACAAAAATGGCTGGGGCATATAGTGTTACCCTGTTCCGTCCTTCCGTCATTCCGTCATAATCAGTTTCCGTTCATTATCTTAGTAACGGTTGATCACATTCAACTCAAATTTGACATATGGATATCATCATGAGAAAATAACTTTGAATTTTGCAATGGCCCGGTGATTTTTGACAGAGTTATGCCCGTTGATGAAATTTTCAGTTTCCGTTCATTATCTCCCCAAACGGTAATTCACATTCAACTCAAATGTAACATATAGATATGTCAAAGGAATGCGCAGGTCAAGTTCGAATTTGGCCATAGTTTGATGATTGTTGACGCTTTCACTTTGAAAATAATATGAAATTCTCAGTTTCTCTTCATTATCTCCCCCAACGGTATTACATATTCAATTCAAATTTGACACATGGATATGCCAAACAAATGCGCAGGTAAAGTTTAAATCTGGTCATGGTTCGATTATTTTTGCAGATTTATGCCCTATTTCTTTGAGAAAAAATCATGATCTCCCCAACAGTTGTACATTTTCAACTCAAATTAGGGATATGTCAAAAGAATACACTGGTCAAGTTTGAATTTGGTCATATTTTGATGATAACTGACAGAGTTATCTCTCTTGAACTTGGAAAAAAATCAGAAATATTCAGTTTCAGTTAATTATCTCCCAAATAGACACATATCGTATACATTTTAGTAATAGGCAGTTCAAGTTTGAATTTGGTTGAGGTTCAATGATTTTGGACAAAGATACCTCTTGAATGTTGGGGAAAAAATTAAATCTAAAGGTTCAGCACACATACTTTTGTAGAAATGTATGTAGTCATTTTTGCTACAAATATGCAATATGCAGTTTACAAAAGGAACAGTTTCAGTGCTTGAACTTTGGATTAAAATGGTTTGTGTTAACATTGAATAGTTTTAAGGGCTTTGAACTGAAATGAAAACAAATAGTTTGTGCAAACAAATTTGGAACTAAATATTACATCTGAAAGTTTGGCTGCATGCGGGAGCATCCGTGGCGTGACGACAAATTTCTAATTCAAATTTATTTGAAGTCGAAGATTAATTATACGATCGATCGATACAATAGAATTGCACTCTTTTACCCTACATACACTTTAATAATATTCTATATTATAGTGCGGCCTACTTTTCTGATATTTGAAATATCTAAATTATCTTTTTACATAACATGGCAACAAATTAACATTTTAATGTAACAACCTTTAAAATGAATATGTTCCCAATTGTTTTAAGTACACTACAACAGTGTTAAAGTACAAGTTCATCCGATGATCGTTCATGAAGAAACAACTATTATAGAAGAAGGAAAAGAAATAGTCATGTACACAAGTAGTCTGCAATATAAATGTTCCTTCGATGTCGAGGAGAAGATACAGTATAAAGCAAACTGGTATTCTTTATGATAGTTTGTGTCAGAAAAATGTTGTAACAATAATCAGCAGAAATAAAATTAATAAGATAATATCATTACTGATTATGTTTAATTTATGTGTTTAACATCTAACCTGCAACAATGTTTAGCACAATAACACACTAAATATGAAATTAATAACTTAAAAGCGACGTAAAAGCGGGTAAAGTAATGATAGAAGAAACAAATGTTGTGAAACAATTCCAACACTGAAATTTTATGGCCAGACGGTTCCATTCCTATATACCCGTATCCCAATGTTTCATTTTAAATCAATTTAATCTTTTAATTAATATATCTCATGTTTTCTGTGAGTTCATTACTAAAATGGTGCCCCGTCAGTGCGCCAACCTTATTTCCTATATTTGTTTGAAGCACTGTTATCTTCGTATTCAGTATCAATAGTTACTTTTAACAAATAACTTAGTATACCTTCCAATTAATCTGAAAAAGAGTCATTAAAGATTTTCTAAAATGTGTACATGATCATAACTTCTTTATCATACATAATAGGTATATAAACGGAACCTTTCAAGTACAGATGGGGCCATCTTCTAATCTTAATGATTTGGTATTTAAAGAAAACTATCTTTCTACTTTGAAATATGGATATGAGGTAATTTTTAAAATACAGGAATAAGACAACTTTAAATTATTAAAGAAATGAATAAAAACAAATAATTTCGTCGGAAACTTTTCTTTTAATATCGTATCAAAATTGACGTACCTTGGTGCATTATGAATTTTTTTTTACCTCTGAATTGATTCTAGTGTCTTTCATTATATTAAACACATTTTCAAAATGTTTGAATGACTTACAAATATTATACTAGTAGCATTAGTATGATAACCAGATTGTTCTTTTGGCCTCTTGTGGTTTTGTGGTATATTTCCAATCTTTATTTCAGGTTGTTTGTGGAATATTCCCCGCGGCTGAAAATGAGCCCACGGAAGCTATGAGTGATGCTTATTACGCCGGTTGGAAAGTAATACCGAATTCATGTGATATTTTGTTTACACCGTTTATTCTTACATTGTGTAAGATAAAATAAAACAGTTATTTTGTATTGTAACATATAACCTTAAAAAAGTACATTAAGAGGCAAAATGGATTTAAAGTGCATTAACATTAACTTTGTTTGAATCACAATCTTTTATGTTTATTTTGCAAGCCTTCCAATATGATATTATTGACAATTCACGTGTCCATGTATGATTTCAGATTCAAAATGAAAACATCAAACTAAGTAAAAGTGGAGTTGCTATTGTCACAATTGAGCAAACTATTCCATTAGGATGTTCCTACAGGGAAGACAATGCAGCAAATTGTCTGGAAAAACTAACGTTTGAGGACATTGTAAATGAGGCTAATGACTGTAGCGGTCGACTAGAAGTAAAAAGTTATGATGATTCAAGCAAACCGTTTATAGAAATTAAGGTACAGAGCAGATGTAAATACATATTATAATACCTTAGTGCTGATCGAAACGCCCATTCTCCGTATTTTATTTCAAACCTGCAAATGTGGTATTAATAAAAAAGCATCCGCAATAAAAATCTTTCTCACAGAAATTTTTTATCAATATTTATTGCATTCTCTTCTAAGGGAACTGTTGTTGGCAAAAATATTATATTATTATATCATATCAAAATTGTATTTTAAACTCTGCTTTCGAAATGAAGCGCTAGATGAAAGTTGTACGATTAGCTATGTATTTCAACTGTCTTGATTATTTCACTGTTATAGGAAGCAATTAATTTATGAATCCATTGGTTTTCAATAATATACAAAAATCAATGATTGCAATTGCATGCGAATTAACATTTATAAACGGTTCTATGAGTAGGTGTTATTTTCAAAACAATTTGTCTCTACTACACAAAACAAACAAATCGATGAGCGAATATCACCTGTAATTTTGTATAATTAAACCGGAAATGTCTTTATCACAAGGTGTTATAAAGAGACGAGACGCCGCCAATTTGCGGGACGATTTACCGCTTTTGAAAAAAATCATGTTCGACCGAAAAGGTGTGATTTTCACAATATTTCTATTGAAGGTACCGAACGCCCTGTTCGAGAGTTCGAGGAATTCAATAACAATATATGTTATATAGGGAATTTGCCAGGACCTGACGATGAGTTTGAGCGAAGGGAGGGTTCGAGCGATCCGAGTTTGAGCGAACGAAGTTTAACTGTAAAAGATAAAACGTATCTCAATCAAGCAAAAAACCTATCGATTATTAAAATAAACCAATTATTTCATATATTAATAATCATAAAACGTTGCATGATTTATTTTTGTTGTTTAACTATTCTTTTCTTTTAGAAATTGAGAAAAGGTGAAACATGGACAACGAAAAAATATAAAGTATTCATTTCATCTTTAGACAATGACTATGACGATAAGATCGCGTTTGACCTTTTGTTTGTTATTAACAAATCATAGTGTTTTGTACACCGGGAAGTCTTTATCACCGCAGGTAAGACGTGGTTATTGTTTTTTTTTTTTTTTTTTTTTTTTTTTTTGGGGGGGGGGGGGTTGTTATTTCAAGTATTTACATGTTTGTTTTTAACGTCTCTGATAATATTTGAAATTATATCATCGCTGTGATAATGCTGACATATGGCATACTTGTATTGTCGGTTTTACTAATTTACTACACAACAGCAAGTTTCAGGATTTGCTTGGCCGGTTAGGACTACCTCACTTCAATGTTGTTATATTTTTCTAATATTTGAGATAATTGCTTGTGAATTACTTATTGATTATTTTGAAGGTTGAACTCCGCTAAACTTGTGCTAGGGCCGGGAAAGATCTTGCGCTTTTATATTTATTTTTTTTAAGCATACCCAGTGACATCGAGTCTGTTTGCAATCTTCATAATATAATATGTATAATTGTTTCCAGTCATTCTTAGAGACTTTCCCTATTCAATATATTTATTCTTTTAATGATGTTTGAATTCATTATGACATGTTCTCTGTTTCTGTATTAATCTATCATTTAAAAAAAAATCCAACAATCTCTTTTTTGCAGGTCCAGCGAGTTGGCGCGATCCATGTAAGTACAAAATTGTATTTGATTTCTTCTTAATTTTTTAAAAGATATCTAAGCATATGATTTAGTATGAAACAAGTATATTGAAACACATTGAATGCCAATGAAATCCAGACATTTCTAAATCAGTTATCAGTATTTTTATCGGTTAACAAATGATAGATATATAATACAATGTTAATTACTGCTTAATAAATTGGTTTTGGAAATTTTCGTGTTTATAAAGGTGGATATAACAGACATTAATAGACATTGGAATAAAAGATGTTATTCACACGTGGATCCTCATATGAAAACCGTAGACGGCGTGTAAGTTACTGTAATATTATTGTACATTATTACAATTCCATTTTCAGTTAGATTTTCTTAGGAATTTCTATGTATATTAGTATTGATAATCACAAAACAAATTAATTGATGTTGAGTGGTTGTTCTTTTTAACTCACGTTCTTATTTTCCGTGAATGTCAATACAAATTCAAAATATTGTGTATGAAAGACTTTGTATAATATTGCGTTACATTGTTGTCGGATGTTTAATTATTTAATTTTGTTTATTTATTTATTTTCATAATTTTAATTTGTATCAGTCAGTCACTTGAAGCAGTCGTATTCGAAATGGGCGCAGAAAATATGCATGACCTAAATACTTATTGACATTTATAAACCTAGTTTACAAATTTTTCTTTAACCTATTTTGATAATTGTAACTTTTTTCATGTTTTGATTATCAAACTTATTTTATCATAGACATTACGAAGCACATAGAGAGGGAGACTACATGTTGTTCCTGAATGAAAAATATCAAACGGAGGTAATTGAAAATTGTTTTAGTCATTGACTGGATGTTGCAATTGATATTCTTGCATAAGAGCTGCGCACATAGAATTAACCAATTTGGACGTATACTTTTATGCAAGAATAGCGATTATGTACCACTTTAAAAATTAATTGCATTAACTGCGGCAAAAACCCTTGGACTGATAAAACATCAAGCCCTGCGTGCGTTAGATTTAAATGCACCCACATACTAGTGCATATGTCAATACACGTTAAAAGTCTAACGGTTGTTATTCCGGTAATGTGGATGGTGCAAGTTTTTGGCCAGTTTAAAGAAACCTTGCATTTTTTTAATGAAAAAAGCAAGATCAGACAAAAACAAGTGGCCGGTGGCCAAGTAGTTAAGGTGTCTTCATTGCAATCAAGGGATGTTGTTTGAACTATTTCCTCATATGATCACAGTGCAGTATAACGAAGCAAAAAAAGTTAATATTATTATGTAGAAAGGAATAACAATGGTCTCAGACTTAAATGCCGAGCGGGCTGGGCATTTTTGTCCTGCTGCGTTTTTCTTAGCTAATTGGGTTACTTGTAGTACTGAATAAACACTTTTAATTATTTAAGATAACCTTATCTGTTCATGTTAGATACAGACATCGGCAAGATATTGCAGACCTGGTTACACACGTGGTCCTGTTTGTGCTTGTGGAATAGCAATCGCTGTCGGCGCTGATGTTTTGATAATTAACATATGCCATGGCAAGCCTTTCAGGTTCGATCTTTCATGTGTTGACGGTGGCAATATTGACGTTGAATATATTCACGATTACAGATATTTGGTATGTACACGTATGTTGAAGATGATATGCTAATACTTGTTTGCTTTATTGTATTATATTAACATATAAAATTAGAATTTTCTAAATGCATATTAGATAAGGTGAAATCCGAGTGCATATTTTAACTATCTTGGACAGTGATAAAAATTCTCGGCTATGGAGAAGACCTTGTTAAAAATATCTGTTTCAAATATCCGATCCCCTTACAACTCAAGTATCATTTTCTCGTCATCATTAATGCATTGCAAATGTGGTACACTATTTATGTCTTTAGGCAAGAACTCCAATGAACACAATAATTGACATATCCCTACATATGTGGAGTGATACTATGAACATTGATGTATACATGTCTCCCAAAGATTTTGGAAATGTTGCCGGACTTTGTGGAAACTTTGACGGGGATAGATCTAATGATCTTGAACATAGAGATGGAACTATTTCTTATGATGACAACAGGAGTTACAATTTTGCTGATAGTTGGAGGTACGTTTTGTGTGGATGGGCTATTTTAAATTTAAATTTTATCATGACAATTAAAGGGCGTTTTAATTATCATCCTGTTTTATGTTTATCTTCTTTTTGTGTTTAGTTTGCTTTCAAATTGAATAGTTAGATTTCAGGTGTTCGAGTTTCAAATTTGTACCAGTTCTTGTTTTTTGAATTCTGCTTAAGTCTGTGCTAGGGGGCTTGGACGATAGTTTGCACATGACAGTACCGTCCATGAACAGGCTCAATCAAACCGAGCCTGCAACATTTTTAATTCTGCCGTGTTTGGATTTCTTTAGGGATTCCTATTTTCTCTATTTTGAAGCTTTATTGTAATTTAAATTAATTTGTAAATTTAAAATAAAAAAGCTTAAGTATTAATATCTTATATCATATTGAAATTCAATAGTGCAACTTCATCTGTTTTGCTTTTTATATGGCGACATACAGGGATCCCTTTTCCGCTGTCTGTCTGTTTGTCCGTCCGTCACAATATATAATTCTGCGTTACGCACTTTAGCTAAGAAATATTAAATTTTAATTGCAGATTAACGGACGACGAAAATCTATTTAAGAACCCAGATCGTAAACTTGATCATTGGAATGGGAATAATGCTGACAAGACATGTACAAGACCTAATTCAATAACAAGAAAGAAATGCAAGCTTAGGAATAGCCAATGGCAAAAACGTTCCATTTCTGAATCCACTGAGTCGAAGATGAATACTCAATATCGTTATTTTCTATCGCGAAAAAGGGTATTGTTAGCCTTCTTTCCCTGTGAACAAATCTGTTGCAGTTAATCTTCCTTTAAGTACTTCAGATTTTTATGTTTGTCTATTTTTAATGTTAAATTTATCCTTATTTTCTATGCACTGTTTTCTTCAGTTATTGACCTACAGTTATCAAATTAGCTTATACATTTGTAGAGAAACACCATCAGTATTACTGAGGACAAGGCATTTCAATTGTGTAACCGTTCAATATATACAACACCAGCAGTCCAAGAATTCCCAGATCATCTCGCTGAGGAAGATCCGGATATTGTCGTAGAACAGTGTGTTTATGACTTAACGGTATGTGATATATGGTAATATTTTTTTCCTCGATTCCGGAAACATACGTTTCAATTTTGAAATGAATAAATCTTTGAATGTTTCTTATATTCTCGTCACATCATGTTTTTTGTTGTTGTTTTCTTTTTACGTTAAATGCATACGCGTTTTAACCCGTGTAGTGACTGGCGATGAATCGTTTATTATTCTAATCAACAAACACTTGTTACGTTAAAGACATGTGTCTCCTTTTTCTGTAAGCTGGTCGCTGAAATTATGAATGTCAAAAATTTATATGCGGTGTTCTTTAATATTGGATACTGGATGGCCGTGCCTTTGAGAGCTGGAAGTCATTATCAGTTATATCATAAATTAGGGAATATGTATACACTCAAAATAGGATGTGTGTTTGGTATAAAATGTCATAAAACATAGAAAACAGTTTCTGCGCACAAAGTAAAAATATGTATATTCCAAATTATTTTTTTATTAAAGCAAGGAAATGACACAGATTGGATTGATGCTCACGTGTCTGTTTTGAACAATGCTGTAGATACAATTCTCAGAATGAGTCCAAATTTTGTTGCTAACAACACAGAACAAGTAAACTCGTTTCGCATTGAAACTTGTCTAAATAAATGTAGTGGAAATGGAGTCTGCGCCATCACTGGTAAATACTTATATATTCCTCTCTTGATTTTGAGAACCTTACATTTTAGATTAAATTCAAATTCATGTCAACAACAAAAAGGTGATGGAGCCTTTTTAATTACTGTCTATTAATTGTAATGATAGCAGTTTTAATATTTCTGAAATTATTATATTTGCCCTCTCCAATTTAGGACTTTGTGAATGCAGTGGAACTTTCAAAGGGCCTGACTGCAGTATTGATATAAGAATTCCACCGGTTGTCTTTGAAATAGAAAGAGACGGGGTTTGTACCATCACGAGTGAGGACGACTGCACATGTTTCCAAATACGGGCAGACAACATATTCGATGGTTTTATGTGCAACATCACCCAGTTCAAGGTCTTACCGTATTTCATAATTTTCTTGATAACAGGACAGAATGATAAAAAAAGTTCTCGATGATAATACAGATAACAAATCAATTGAGTTTAATCGATCGGCTTAGCGCTACAATAAGCTCTTACTCAAATATCATTCCTCTCTTGTGAAAGAAAATATATATCAACACTTAAAATTACAATTATTGGAATACCTTTTTTGAATTGTTAATTTGTCTAACTTCATGCTTTACCTAGGAATATTTTAAAGGCACACGTAAACATAAATTATGTAGCGGGTATACTTTTGTGTTGAAATGTAATTATCTTTATACCTTACATAGGTATACTCCAATGGTTCACGTATGGAAGGAAATTCATCAACAGATCTTGGTTATTATGATGATATCTTTACTGGCGAATGCTGTGTGCATGTGATAGTAAATAACAGCTCCTCTGTTTCATACGACAAAATTGACGAACTGTTTGTCATCATGTACGAAATTTCTATTAGCAATGATGGTGCAAATGACGGGGATGTTAACCCCGTCTATATCTATGATACTAAATGTATTGAACGGATTGAGATCAATGATGCAGTTACCTTCAAACTAAAGGTATTTTAAACATGATTTTGTTATAGCGGGAAGCAAAATTTTAAGGCTTGAACGATCATGTCGAATAGATAAATGTCTCTGTAAAATGACTAATCTTGATAACCATACAACATTTTATTTATACTTTATAAACATCACAACGGTGAAAATTCTTCGATTATATAAAAGGGCTGTCTGTGTTATTAAAGTTTTTTACTGGATTTTTTGTTGACGTGAGATAAAATGTGTAGATGTTTGTAAATACTGGTAGCTCTATTTCGATAAATTCAAGATATGATATGAAATATGTACTGACATTATAGGATAGTTTTTGCTTCATTGATGCTGTGTGCATTGCTCAGAACTTCGACAATGGTTCATGCTTTATATGTGACCCTGCAAACGATGCGTACGGTTGGACAAAGGGTAAGCACAATAATATTTTAATGAGTGTGTTGGACATTAAAGCTGCATTTTATAAAGATATATTAACTTTTAACTGTCGGGGCCTAAAAAAACAAGCATTCTTCATTTTCTTTAACCTTTCTAAAACAATATTTTTATAAATATAATCAATAATGGTTCAAAAATTATGATTTCAAAGAAAAACCACAAGGTATTGTTTAATTTTTTTTACCTGACAATTGTATACTGATTATACGGTCAGTGCACACGATATATCAATTTCCAATAAATGTTTCTGACGGTTCGTGTCATGTATCAAGTAAGATGCGTTAAATGTAATCTGTGTCTATGAAATAATTGTACTGAACGTCATAGCGCAATAGAGTAAACTATTTAAGAAATAATATATCCCAAACAGTGATTTTATCGCTCAATAAAATCACTGTTTGGAATACGTATGCGCGGAATTATACCACGAGGGCATAGCCCAAGTGATATATTGATGCGCATTCGAACGATAAAATCACCGATTTGGATATATTTTTTCGATTCTAACACGACATCAACAAATAAATGCTTCTGTACCTGATGTAAATCTAAATTGCTCCCAATTTGTTTCTGTACTTATTTTCAGCGCGTTACATTTGTAGTGGTCATGACACATGTATAATGACGTCACATGTCTAAAAATAGAACATCAGCTGTGATTTTATTGGATAATAACATACACTTTCAGTTCTTCTTTGTTCAATTGGGAAAAAATGCGGGTCGTGTTAAGGCCTCAACAGACGGTAGGATTTTGAAGTACAACACCAATTAAAACTAAGATGTACTGACAAATCTTAATGTGTGAAGGGTACTATTTCTTGATTTCGGAAACCTTATGTCAAGATGTAAGGGATATGACATGTTCTATTTTGAAAATCTTGTCGTACCGATTTTTATAGACCTCCCACAATGACAAGTAACAGATAACCAAATTATCTCCTGATAATGGGTGTAATGAATGAAATTCCAGAACAATTAGGGCTAAAAGGTAAACATAGTAGCAAGATGGGGTAACAATGATGTTGAAAACCTCTTCAGGAGACCCAAAATTGTGTTATGTTCGAATCCCAAATTATTCCGAAAATGATTATGTCACGGTATTGAATTGTTCTCTAATTAGGGGAGGGGAGGTAGTTTGTAGGCGACCAGATAGCTTAGTCAGCAGAGCCGCAGTACGGTATTCCGAGGGTCCTAGGTTTGAGTCTCGGTCAGGCTTCACATTAAAAATATATATATATATTTTTTTTTAAATGGAGGTTTTTCAATCATTACTCATGGCGAAAAAAGTATTTAGTGAGTAAAGTATGTAAAGGATCAATGTAAAGGGATCCTTTTTAGGGGAAACCTCAGATGATTCTTACAGTGTAGAATTACCGTCTGAATGCAAGTGTTGTATAGCTTTGAAAATTGTACATCTTATCTCTAATTAGTGCTGTACAGCTAGATCCTACCGTCTGTTGAGGCCTTTAGAATTGTTTGTAATTACTACATTTCCTACCATGCCGCTAAGGTTCTTATTTTTTTCTTATTGGTATCAACAATTGAACCTATGTTTGTTTTTACATTGTTTTTTTTTTTTGTTTTTTTGTAATTACTACATTTCCAACCAGGCTGCGTACGTTCTTATTTTTTCTTATTTGAATCAACAATTGAACCTATGTTTGTTTTTACATTGTTTTTTGTAATTACTACATTTCCTACCAGGCCGCATAGGTTCTTATTTTTCTTGTTTGTATCAACAATTAAACCTATGTTTGTTTTAATATTGTTTTTGTCTATGATTAACTCGTGTATGAATAAGTCACATTGTCAAAGTTTAAGGAAAATCACGAATACGGCACATGTAGAATTTTCCTATCTTATCCGGGTATGCAAACAAGCTTTAACTATTTTAATTTTGCGATAAATTAGGCCTTTTGTTCACATAAGAGTGATCATCAAATAAAAGGACATACAATTTGTATGAAAGCATCCATTATATAATGCGGAAATATACAGTAAAATAACGGAGTTCTACTTAGCGCCATGTTTGTTGATTGTTAACTGAGTTTCTCATGAAATTGTACCCTTGATTTCGCCGCAAAAAGTTTGCAGACATTTACACGTATGAAGCTCATTTTGGTCATCTGGGCACTATAATAAGAACAGTAGTCAATATGAAACCTACTTTACGAAATATATCTATTTCTGTTTATCTTAAATTAATAAAATGCAGATTTATGCTTGACAATTTATTAATACTGGTGATTCTATGTAATTTTTATATGTTCTTTCATTTTATTTGTTTAAGGCCTATTTTCTGTACGTACTTACGTGTCAAAATTAGTTTTTGTGCAACATATTTAAATTAACATTCATTTGCATAATTCTACAGCAGATATTTCGATATCAAAACATGCATCTTCACTCAAAACTTAATAAAACTAATGTACCAACCATAAACAGTTGGTGTTAAAACTGTAGACTAAGTCAAGGATGTAGATTTATTGAAGCATATCACGTGTCTTTTCTTCTGAAATTCATTTTGTAGATGATTGTAAAAACTCTGGTACAGAAATAGGAACAGGGATTATTGTGGGAATCGTTATTGGATCGACAATTGTGGTCGTACTCATATCAGTAGTGATATACATTTTTGCATGTAAATTATCAAAGAAGCACAGGTAAAAATTTGTTAAAAGGACTCCACTGAGATTTTTTGACTTTATGTGTGTGGAAATATATTTTACGATTAATGTTTCATTTTATGTAACTCTAGACCAATAACTTGCTACCAAAATTTCTGATCATGCGCTCTTTCCAATTCTGTAGAAAAATAATTCCAATTGCTGAAAATGATTCAAAATTGAAAAGTGTTGCAACACTTTTCATTGTAAAAGAGCTATGAATTACGGTTTTAAATTTATTTCTGAGTAAATTACTTATTTCTTGTAACCTTTAGGCACTAAGACTTCACTGAAGTTTCTTTTAATTAATGGAATTCAAAAATATTTTGAACGTTTAACCATTCTACAAGTGTAACAGTCAGTCAATTAGAAAATTTTCAAAGCTGCCATATAACACTGTACCATCATGTATCTGTTCATTAAAGGCATAATGGTTTGTATTTATGAATTTCATTCTTAAAGATAAATGTCTTTATCCATATATTGATCAGTCGTTATCAAATTGCCAGGACATTATGACTTTTATTGCCGAATATTCCAGATAAAAATGTTAAATTGATTATTCAGTTCATCTATTGGCGTTGGTTATAGAGCATAATTTGCAATTAGCTTTGCCGCAACAGAAGGAAAGTGCGACAAATCAAATCCAGACCAAATATTGAACAGAATATAAGGAATGGAACATCACATAACATGAACCAAATCACTGATATGTTAGGTGAAGATAAATGTGCCTCAGCTAAGGAAACCGATGCATTCTACACAACGATCGACAAGTATGAAACCGAAGACATAGAACGTATATTTGCAACACGAAGCGAAAGTAAACTAAAAAGAGACATTTATCAAATATTGAACTTGACTAAAAGTTATTCCGCATGATTCAAGAAAAATGTTGACTTTTTGTATATATTAATTAATGTTGATAATGTTTGGATTGTCAATGTTGCGATTGCAAGTTTATGCAGGAATCGATTGTTTTATTCACTAAATTTCTAATTTGCTAATGGACTTTTTCACTACATATCTATTTAATCGGATGAGAGATGTCGTTTGTTTTTAATGCAATAAAATCAGTATATTCCCTAATTTTATGTTATATATGCTTTGTACATGATGTTGGTCTGTCAGGCAGTGAGTTTGCTGTTTCAGTAATTTTCTGTTTTATGAAAACATCCTTTTATATTGTATTCCTTGTCGTTTTATATAAACTACAAAATACACGAAAAGACGAAATTCCAAACTTATTAAATTGCGCTACAAGACTCGCTCGATAACTATCATTTATACACTTGTAACTGTAAAATGTTACGCATTTGGCAATAATTCAACTGGTTATAAGTATCACTTGACCGATTTTAAGTTTACGGTATGAGGTCGAAGTCATAATCATAACCAGCCACATGAAAATAAGAGCATAAAAATCACAAATGACATTATCAAAACAAGATAGCTGAAATATTTTGTGGGGTGGTTATGAGTATGGTTATGATGGTTGATTTAGGATTAACAATTTATGCGTAACTATAGACACAAATTTGAGACAAAAACAGTGTTCTCCCGCACAAATCGGGCCTAAACAGCTGGTTGCGGATAGACCTTATTAAATTAATGTCAGTTTTTATTCAGATCAACAAAATAATTATGATCTTCTTTTATGTTACTTTGAATAAACTTTTTATAATGAAGAAACTTACAACTGTTCTACCAGCAAGCAACTCTTGGACTTGCAACTAGTACACATAGGATTCTAATTTAAGTCAATATTAACAAATTAACCGTTGCAACTGCTAAAATTGCAGCACAATAAAAATGCATTTACAATGTACTTTTTGTCGACAACCTTTCGACGAGTAAGACTTGTGTAATGCATTTAATGTATGAGCATGTGGTGAAATTCGATCTGTTGATGACATTCAATTTCAAAACCCACAAACTTTCATGTGTGGGTTAGTTGCTTCAATACGTTTATTAATCAACAGGTATATTGAAACCATGAACATATTTCACAAGATGCGACTAGAAAGTGATAATTGGCCCTCGGCGAGTTGATGCCCTTTGGGTTTTCATTTAGCGGCCGATTAACACCGTCTGGCCCTATTATGTTGTGTATCAACCCGTATATAAAACTCGATTGCAAAAATTAAATGATATGAAATGATAACTCTATCAAGATCCTTGAACAAAAAATAATGTTTTTTAAATGTTGTTTATTCAGCTGTAGTTATACCGAATGCGCTTTATTATTACATACTATTTTATTGAGTGAGGCTAAACAATTGAAAACTGTATTCCGGACACCCGCCGGTATGCACTCCAAGACGTCTAATTCACCTGCTTACACCGATTTATATTATGATAATGAAAACAAATGTAAAAAAAATCGGCGTAAAAAATGTACTGCTCCAACGCGAGTTAAATGCTTTTTGATTTCGCTAAGAATCGTTCGTGATATAATGAAATATGATAAAATTATCATTTAAAAATATAAAAAAAAACAATTAAAAGTACGTTTACATGTTTACGAAACTTTGTTTTATTATTAAACATTAAACTTTAATCTAGATATAAGTTTTTTTTTTTTTTTTTTGTTTTTTTTTGCAATGAATTCATTAAGATGTTTCCTACTTTCATCTTGTATGTATCTGATAACTAGATGTATCATAACATTGTATATTAAACTGAAGGTTATTCCCTTTCTAGATTTGCATTACTTTTTTATTAGCTATTATACTCAATTTTATTGAATAAACGTGTTGAGGTTTTTGATCTTAATAGTCAGTGCAACACAATAGGATTATGCTGAACTATCTCTTTGAAAGAGAATAAGAAAATAAAGAACATAAAATAGCTTAAATGTAATAAGCCTTGTACTACTATTGCAGACGTTGATAATATTTAGGTACTCTAATGGAAAATATTAATTTTTTACTCGCAACACAAATTATGTTTTTGTTCAAAATTGTCTGTACAATTTGCTTATTTGGCTGTGCATATTAAGGTAGAACACCCGTAATGGGCACTATAAGGAACTGTAAAATTGACAACAAAGAACAGCTGTATGCATTACAGGTCACCTGTATGCAAAATTAAAATACAATTTACCTCATGGTTTAAGAGTTATGGACATCTTTCTGAACTACAACTTTGCTATTAGAAGGTTTTTTTGTTGTTTTTTTTTTGTTTTTTTTTCAGAATGAGAAAACGAAATAATCTATTATTATATCATCATTATGAAAAATGTTATCCTATTGCTTATTGTTAAGAAACAAATAATAACATAAAAGTTACAAATTACACGAGCAAAATGATTGTTTCTGAACTAAATGTTTTTAATATGTATCAAAATGTTACCCTACCCCACCCACTTTGAATACTTATTTGACCATTGCCCAATGTTAAAAGCCTATTCAAAATATCCTTAAATTCATCACAATGGGGACTTTTTCAGAGTTTGCCTAATTTTTCTTAAAAGTATATTGGTTGATCTTGCAAATTTAAATTTAAAATAATTTTACCGTAAAGTGCTTATTTCATAAAATATCTGTTATCGTTTTTGCTTTTAAATTTGGCATTATTTAGCAAATAGATACCTAAAAATATTTTCATAATTAAAATCAAACACTGTTTTCCCGTAAGGGGTCTGAGAGATACATAAATAAGATTAAAAAAAAGAGAGAAAAAAGTTGCCCTTTCTGGGGTTTGAACCCACGTCCCTTAATTTCAATACAGTGTTTGATTCTGTTTGAATACTCTTCAAGTGGAGGAATACTACGTTAAGTGCTTGTCAAATACACTTACCTTACTATAATTAGGTCAGTAAACTGATACTTTTGTTCATTCTCTACATTATATAAATTAAGTACCTTATAGCAAGGATTAAAAATTCAACCAAGATCTCGGTATATTGCTTCACTACCACGCTAGTTGGTAATAACAACTCAATTTATTATATAGTTGTATATCGAGTTGCTTTTTCCTTTTTTCTTACATGATTATGTAATAGCATCAATGTTGCAAATTCATTACTTTGTTTAATACATTTATTCATAAGTACCAACTTGTGCATTTATTTTATAACTTTCTTATGTAATCATCGAATGTATTGCTATGATCATGTACCATCTATTGTACTTCAAATAAAGTTTTGTTTAAACAGATACTGAATATAGGATTTTTATTTTGATTTTCAGTTCCCCACCCGCCCAAAAAAATAGGAAATTTTGAAGAAAACATAAAAAAGTGGATCCAAAAATAATTTTATTATATTTCTTTTTCTACAGTTCCTGATCTGTTCTACCAACTACAATTCGACTGTAGTCGAACAAAGTCTGCAAAAACGAGCGCTGTGACTATCATCAGTGCATTCCTGTGCGTTAAATATTAAAGTAAATATGACCGTGTTCACCAATGTTTGATCTTTCCCAACGAAACATTGGTGATCATTCTAATGTATAGCATGAAGCTATAACATTAAAATGTTGTTTGTTCCTGGAGACTGACATTTGTGTACTTCCGGATATATCATATCTTTAAAAATAATTTGCATTTCTAGTTACAACATCTTGGCGTTGCACTATGTAAAGGCAAATATATTGAAAATAAGCGAACCGATTGATTAATGCATTGAGAAGGAAAGTATACGCACCACGAAGGTATAATGCTGGCGAATTCCGGTATGGTTACCATACTTAAAGAAATAAGTAGATATAATTATTCATACACCCAATCAAATGCCACATCAGATGACAATTATTTTTAATTCATAAAATGAATTTATAATTGACTTACAATAATGGTTATTACTGACTTATACAGTTCATGTAGCTATTTATAGTCACGACCTGTTTATAAATGTTGTTTAGGTCTGCTCAATGGGAAGCGTCACGTCACGTTCATGGAAGCGTTACGTCACGTCCATACAAGAAGTACTTGTTTTATATTGTGACAGGATGGGTACGCTTCAGTCAATGTCATAATGAGCCAGGAATCCGACACCATGTATCTTATTCATATATAAACAGTGTTGCTCATAATGGTTTATGATTATGCCTTGAACATTAATTAATTACATATATACACAAATGTATTTGATTTCCGACCATTTTGGGGCATTGTATTGTAACACTTGCAACATCTTTAAAACAAGTAACATTTTATAATTTAAATTGTCTTTCAATTGTCGTTATGTTCATAGCAAGTCTGTAACAACTATGTAACGAACTTGTAACATCTATGTGACCACATAATTGTCTTACCATTTTAGGGCTTGTGCACTTACATCTGTAACATTTGTAACAATCAGATTTTTCCCGCTAACAACTGTGGGAACGCAGGTCATTTAATGGTACCCAGGAGCTCTTGTTGGGTTATTTTGTCTATATTTATTATACATTGGTCTAAAGCGTTGATACATAAATTAATAGAAAATAAAACTGGATTACATTGTACTGACAAATAATGATATGATACGACTAAACTAACAACATCTGTTTTGCTAAATTCACTTAAACATGCGAACATAAACAATATGTAGAACATTCATAAAAGTGAATACAAATCAACATCATTACCATCTAGATCATCATCAACATAATCATCATTTGCAGCAGTAACATCCGCCACCCTCTAAGCAGAATCAGCAGCAGAAATAGCAGCAACAACCGACGCAGAAACAACAGCAACAATAGCAGCAGCTGCCAATGCTGCAGCAGTAAAAGCAGCTACCGGTGCCACCAAAGCAGCACCAGTAAAAGCAGCAACAGCCAAATCAAAAGAAAAAAATAATAATCGCCATCGTCATCAATATTCCTTTTAGCGTAACAAACAATAATTTTATCATTGTTACCATAAACAGGATCAACATTATCACCAAAAATATCGTCATCATCGTCATCATCAATATTTTTGTAATCATAATCACCACCATTATCATCAACAACAACAGCAACATTAACATTATAATTCGTCATCTTTATGTCAGCTTTACAATATCAAGAACATTATAAATTATAAAGCTGTTTTTTTTCTATTATAATTTGTTATCGTTATAATTACCATCTAGACAAGTATTAAGAACACTTTAATTAAAGACTGTTTAAATCATC